GAGGTTGGCCAGATCCCTCTGTCTCCCACACCTCAGGTATTTATACACATTGATGAGATCCCCTCTCAGTCTTCTCTTCTCCAAGCTGAACAGACCCATATCTCTCAGCCTTTCCTCATAGGGAAGATGCTCCAGGCCCCGTATCATCTTTGTGGCCTTCCGCTGGACTCTTTCCAGGAGATCTCTCTTTCTTGTACCGGGGAGCCCAGAACTGGACACAGTACTCCAGGTGAGGCCTGACCAGGGCAGACAAGAGGGGGAGGATCACCTCCCTTGACCTGCTGGCCACACTCCTTTTAATGCATGCAGGATCCCATTGGCCCTCTTAGCCACAAGGGCAAAGTACTGGCTCATGGTCAGCCTGTCGTCCACCAGGACCCCCAGGTGCTTCTTCTCAGAGCTCCTCTCCAGCAGGTCATCCCGCAGCCTGTACTGATACTTTGGGTTGTTCCTTCCCAGGTGCAGGACTCTACACTTGCTCTTATTAAACCTCATTTGGTTTCTTCCTGCCCATCTCTCCAGCCTGTCCAGGTCTCACTGAATGGCAGCACAGCTTTCTGGCATGTCAGCCACTCCTCCCAGCTTTGTGTCATCGGTGTACTTGCTGAGGGTGGACACTATTCCCTCATCAAGGTCGTTGATGAAGATGTTGAACAAGACCAGACCCAGCACTGACCCCTGGGGAACACTGCCAGTCACAGGCCTCCAGCCAGACTCTGCTCCTCCGATCACCACCCTCTGAGCTTGGCCAGTCAGCCAGTTCTCAACCCACCTTACTGTTCACTCCTCTATCCCACACTTTCTCAGCTTTGCTAGCAGGATGTCGTGGGAGACAGTATCAAAAGCCTTGCTAAAGTCAAGGTAGGTGAAGAAGGAGTAGCAAAGATGAAGCCTGCGTCTTCTCAGAGGTGTTCTGTGGCAGAAAGCTGAGGAGTTCCAAGGCCCATGCTTCCAGATGGAGATGTCCCAGACAGAAAAAAAGCAGAAGTTTCCCCACAAGGGTGCTTAGACAGAAGGGGTGTCCAGAAAGGCTGTGGAGTCTCTGTCCTGGGCGGTAGCTGACCTTGATAGAAAAAGGTGATTTATTATTATTATTATTATTATTATTATTGTTGTTGTTGTTGCTGCTGCTGCTATTGCTTTTATTAAATTTTAAAAAATAAACATAATTTATTATTATTATTATTATTGTTATTATTGTTATTATTATTGCTATTATTGCTATTATTATTATTAATGAAACCCATTTTTAAACAACTCAACAGTGTGTAAAAAGTATGTAAATATTTAGAGTAGTCTGACAATTACAGATTTTCAGGCTAGTGTTACCTCCTATAACAGCCTTCCTTTTTCTTTTCCTTTTAGAGAAGCAGACACCAAGTCATGTAGAAGCATAATCAATTAAGTATTCATAGTTGTACAAATGTAGTCTGTAAATTCAGTTACTACATAGCACATTTGTTTAATACTTGTATCTTAAATCAGAAAAATATGGTATTAATACATGTTAGGTACATACCATTGACTGAAAAGCACACAGAATTCAATACAAATAAATTCAAAATGTAATTGCTGTTACTGAGCAGGCATTTCCCAATAGTTCCAACTGCAGTTTGAAGATAACTTTTTGAAAACAAGAGCATAAAAATCAGGTTCCTATCTCTTATTATCTTTTCTCGGATTGGGCCTTCTCTAACACTTTAGAGAAAGCAAACAATGGCTAGGAAGGTGAGGGGAGAGCAGTGGATGTTGTGTACCTTGACTTCAGCAAGGCTTTCAACACCATCTCCCACAACATCCTCAGAGGCAACCTCAGGAAGCGTGGGATAAATGAGAGAGTGGACAGTGAAATGTCCAGCTGTGTCCCTCAATTCAGCCCTGGTGAGGCCACGCCGGGAGTATTGTGTCCAGTTCTGGGCTCCTTAGTACACGAAGGACATCGAGCTACTGGACAGAGTTCAGTGGAGGGCTATGAAGACGGTTAAGGGTCTGGAGCACCTGTCATTTGAGGACAGGCTGAGAGTGCTGGGCCTGGTTAGCTTGAAGAAGAGGAGACTGAGAGGGGATCTTACCAGTATGGCTCAATATCTGAAGGGAGGGTGTCAAGAAGCTGGGGCCAGACTGTTTGCAGTAGTTCCTGGTGACAGGACAAGAGGCAGCTGGCACAAACTGAAATGCAGAAAGTTCCAGCTGAATAGGAGAGGGCACTTCTTTACTGTGAGGGTGACAGAGCACTGAACAGTTGCCCAAAGAGGTTCTGGAGTCTCCTCTGGAGACATTCAAAACCCACCTGGATGCCATCTTGTGCAATGTGTTTTAGGTGACCCTGCTTGGCAGAAGGGTTGGACCAGATGATCTCCAGAGGTCCATTTCAACCTCAACCATTCTGCGATTCAGAGAAATTGTCTGAGCAGCTGGGGACAAGGTTAGGAAAGCTAAAGCCCTGTTATGGTTAAATTCGGCCAAGAACATCAAGGGCAGCAAGAAAGTTTTCTATAAGTACATCAGTGATAAAAGGAAATCTAGGGAAAATGTGGACCCTCTCCAGAAGGAAATGAGAGACCTGGTCACCCAGTATATGAAGAAGGCTAAGGTACCCAGTGATTTTTTTGCCTTAGTCTTGCACTGGCAGGATCTCCAGCCACATAGCCTAGGCCCTAGAAGGCAGAGGCAAGGACTGGGACAATGGCAAACTGCTCGCTATAGGAGATCAGGTTCAAGACCAGCTGTGGAAGCTGACAGTGCAGAAGTCCATGGGACCTGATGAAATACATCCATGGGTCCTCAATGAAGTGGCTGATATAGTTGCTAAGCCACTATCCATCACATTTGAGAAGTCATGGCAGTCCAGTGAAAACTCCAGTGACTGGAAGAGGGGATAAAAAAATGGGAACAAAGAAGATCCAGGAAACTACAGGCCAGTCAGCATCACCTCTGTGCCTGGCAAGGTACTAAAGTTGATCCTCCTGGGAACTCTGCTAAGGCACATGAAAAATAAGGAGTTGACTTGTGACAGGCAACAGGGCTTCACTAAAGACAGATTGTGCATGACAAATCTGGTGGGTTTCTATGATGGGGTTACAGCTTTGGTGGATAGGGGAAGAGCAACTGAGGTCATGTACCTGGACTTACGCAAATCATTTGATACTGTCCCACATGTTATTCTTGTCTCCAAATTGGAGAGCCATTGATTTGATGGATGGACTGCTCAGAGGGTAAGGAACTGGCTGGATGGTCACACTGAAAGAGTTGTGGTCGAGAGCTCAATATCCAAGCAGAGATCAGTAACAAGTGGTGCTCCTCAGAGGTCAGTACTGGGACTGGCACTGACATCTAACATCTAAATGTTAGACTAACATCTTTGTTAGTGACATGGACAGTGAGAGTGAGTGCGCCCTCAGCAAGTTTTTTTGCTGACACCAAACTGTGTGGTGCAGTCAGCACACTGAAGGGAAGGGATGCCATCCAGAGGGACCTGGGCAGGCTTGAGGTGGGCCCGTACAAAGCTCATGAGGTTCAACAAGGCCAAGGGCAAGGTCCTGCACCTGAGTCAGGGCAAACCAAGCACCAATACAGGCTGAGCAGAGAATGGATTGAGAACAGCTCCAAGGAGAAGGACCTGGGGGTAGTGGTGAATGAGAGGCTCAACATGAGCCAGGAAGAAATTATTTACTCAGAGGTGGTGAGGCACTGGAACAGGTTGACTAGAGAAGCTGTGGATGCCCTATCTGAGGAAGTGCTCAAGACATTGAGCAACCTGGTCTAATGGAAGGTGTCCCTGCCCATGGCAGGGGGGTTGGAATTAGCTGGTGTTTAAGGTCCCTTCCAACCCAAACCGTTCTGTGGTTCTGCAAAGAGCTATGAATAGAAGGGATGTATTCTGCTTTCAGCGTATATTTGACAAATTATACTTTATTTTACTAAATGATGTTGTCTTTAAAAATAAAATGACCTCTTTTCTTTTCAGAAGATGGAACTGAATAAATCTATTTCTCGGAAAATGATGGTAGAAAAAATATTAACAAAATTCTTCCAAAATTCCTTCGCAGTAATCTCTTTTCTAAATTATGATTAAAAAAAATATTGTATTACTGATAAAAATACACAACAAGGGAAATATCAAGGGTTCATTTGCCAAGGCATTTGCATTGGACATTACCAGTGGTGGCACTGAATGACCAATAAAAAAAACATGATTTTTTTAATAGATAATTTAACCTTCCTATGTGCCTAGGCATAGAAATTATCTTTGTATTATAACATACTCTTCATACACTCCCTGCAGTTTTATAATATTCATGATATTCATAATATTATGAAACAATAAGGGCTAAGACAAATAGAAGGATCTAAAGTGAAATCCAAAGATTTAGTTTCCTAGAGACTAAAGCACTGTCACTATTGACATCTTCTCTCTCACAGTGTTGTGGTTTAACCCGGCCGGCAGCTAAACACCACACAGCCATTCACTCACCTTCCCCCCTCTCTCTCTGGGATGGGGGAGAGAAATGGGAAAGTGAAGCCTGTGAGTTGAGATAAAGACAGTTTATTAAGACGGGAAAATTATAATAACAATAATAATAATAATAAAAATAATGATGATAATAGTACTACTAATAATAATGTGTATGAAACAAGTGATGCACGATGCAATTGCTCACCACCCGCCGACCAATGCCCAGCCTAACCCCGAGCAGCCGGCCCCCCCACCCCAGCTAGCCACCCGTACCTATTGTTATTGGATACAATACCTGGGGTGGGGGCACGTTATATGGATTCAAAAAAATTAGTACCCTACAAAAATCCTAGAAGATGAAACAAACTAATACAGTCAGTCTCCCTGAGTACCTGGTTGGTTTTTTTTTGTTTGTTTGTTTGTTTCCCCAAAATTTGAGAAGTGTTTTTTTGTTTTGTTTTGTTTGTTTTTTAAGATGGTTTTAAAGGAAGAACTGCAAGGAAGTAGGAAATAATCATGGAATGAAAAAGGACTGCAGCAGAAGTGGAAGCACTGTAACTCCACAGATTTTAATTGTAGTCCAAAGGATACATAAACAAATACAAAATGGAGATGCTGAACAACAGAACATTTAGGGGACTTAATGTTTCAATAGTATCATTAATACATGATCATAGATGAGTGAGAGTAGGGATACAAAAGCTCAGAACCTTAATTTCTCATGCACTTATTAGCAAAAAAGCAATAGGTGTTAAACAAAAATAATGTTCTTTGTATATAACTGGAATGCTACATGCAAAGAACACATATTTAGATCTCCCTCATGAAACATGTAGCTATCAGTTGAATTGCTGATCATTGCAAGCAAAAGTTTACTTTTTTTTTTTTTAAATTAGTTGGAATTAATCAAAGGTCTTTTCACTCTCACTCTTTCATTTTTATCACAAGATTACATGAGAAGCTACATTAAGTCAAATTGGCTAGTCTTTGAATCAGAGGAATCTCAGGAATATATAATAAATATAATGATAATATATAATAAATATATAATAAATAATGTTTCTATTTTCTTTGACATCCCTGTTTCATTTGCACTTAAAGTAAGCCTTATCATTAAGAACAGAATGGCACCTTCTTTTTGTGATTTCATTATATTCTATCCCAAGTAATTAGATCACTTCTACCAAAACTCTTCCTGCAGTTTTTGATGCATGCTACAAACATCTTTATTCATGTGTTAAAGATACCTAAGGAGCATTGCTTCCTTTGGTTACATTGTCATATTTTATCCCAAAAATGCCTATGTCTATTGCTATTGAACTTATTATTCTCTATTAGGAATAAGAAAACTACATTCTGTTTTAGAGGTATTAAATAAAAGTAATATATTATTGCAAATGCACCTATCCACTGCTATAGACTGACAGATTTAATGACTAGGAAGAGAGTCACAGAGCAAATTGTTATTATAATAATGCATGGAACGTTCTTGTAATTAAAGCCATGTTACCTTCTATTTTAAAGCCCACTATGCAGCCTGTAATATGCCAATACTCTAAAATAGTCTAGGACTTCGTGAATAATATGATAATATAATATTAGTACAGATTAATTTTCTTTTCTAAAAGCAGTGTATAGATTTCCACATTTCTGCTTTTTCCTACTGAGTTGAAAATAAACTCCTGTTTTGAAATTACATTTAAGTAGTAACATTTTCAAGCAGTTAACCGACAGAGCCATTTCACTGTAGTAAAAAATAATTGTATATGTACATTTGGAAAAACATTACTGAGAATGCAAAGTAATTATATTTCATAACCTCATTTGTCATGACATGGATTTAGTCTTTTATCTTCAAGGGATTTTGTTTCCCATCCCACAATTACAATGGTGTCAGTCTAAGTAAACTGAGATGACTACAGTAACAGAAGGAAAACACGCCATCTTTATCTCCATAGTACCTTTCATGCCTAAGTCATCTCAAAGCACTGTAAAAAATACAGTCATCAAAATTAAAAATTCGTTTCCTACACTAAAATTCAGTGTTTAAAATGTCTTTTGGTTTAGTATGTATTGGTGGAATTAATATTTTAAATGTGATGGAAGTGATGAAGTTTAATGGTGACAATTAATCGACTGTGCATGAACTACAAACTTTTGTCTATACCCTATGGAAAACAAAGAATCTGGGAGCTGAAAACATTTCCTCCTCTCAGCTCACAGCCTTGCAGTTTTATTTTCAACAGTTACTACCTGTAACAATGTTCTTTATTTTTAAGTAGCCAAAATAATTGCAGGGATGAATAGATAAATGCTGAAATAATACTTTCAAACAAAGTGTAACATCAGTTAAGCATTTGTAAATGAATTCTATCATTAGGAACACTTTAATATTTTAGCATTAGGGAAAAGAAAAAAAAAAAAAAAAAGACTAAATACTACAACCTCTAATTCAGGAATTTTCTGAGGTAAAGATTTCCTCTTGTCTTTCTTTACAAGAAACTACAATTTTTTATAAACTACTATGACAGTTGCTTACAGTCAATAGTAATAATGCAGAAAAAGAAGGTAGAAAAGTTTGTATTCCTTCAAATAAACATGAACAATGAAAAAAATACTAGAAAGATCCAGATTAAATTAATCATATTAGTTCACAGTTGTAACTCTTACTCTTTTAGTATTCCAGACCTTGTAATTTCTGAGATGAATTAACAATGACATGACAATAACAAAAGAAATAATTATGGCCAAAAGTTCTACCAAATGAGGGGCACAACACCTCAAAGGAAGACATAATAGCTGTATATGTTAGCAAGAAAAACAATGCTACAGAAGTCAATTTTTGTAGTAAAATGGTTGGTGCTGAGGACCAATGTGCTTTCTGTCTGTGTTGCAGGCCTTGGAGTCATGAACTGAATGACTATAAGTGGTTCAAGTGCATTAGATGCACTGATCTGCATATCCTCGTTCAGTTTCATCTAAATGAAAGCCTACTAGCATTCTCTCAGACTGGTCTGCAGTGCAGACCAAAGCCCTGTTGCTTGAAAACTGAAAAACACAGGTGCGCTTTTCATTAACATGACAGTGCTAAGGAATTAATAAACCTTAGCATGAATACTTGACCTAATGATATAACAGTGTTGTAGTAAGCACTGTTTTAAAGAAATACCACCCTGAAGGAACAGGATTACAGACATTGAGAAAATCAGGAGATGAAGATAGGAAATTAAGTCTGACAGAGTTTATCAAGGGTTGCTTTCAAATGCATACTGCTTTTCTAGGGAGAAACACTATTATTTTTACTTTTCCCATATGTAATTTTAGATGTCTTTTCCAACCTTTATGATTTTATGTGACTTCAGGATTTACAGATTTTACTAATTAGAACCAAACTGAACTAAGTGCTTATGCACCTTAACTTACTAGCTTTCACCCCAGAAAACCATTGCAGATGCCCCAAAAGAAGTATGATTAAGGAAGTTTTGAGACCAGATTTTAAAATCATGTAAAGCATAACTTGGAGTTCTACTGAAACCAACAAAGCGTTTCTGCTTTTGTTCACTATTATTATCTGGATTATCTACCACTCAATGGTAGATCATGACCCTAAACGGACAGGTGATGAACTAATTATAAGTAAAAACAAAAGGAAATAAACAGGATAGTTGTTTCAAAAGAGGAAATAATCATTGTCAAATACAAGCAAATGAAATAGATAAGGTGGATGCAAGGAAAGGGGCAACAAGGTAACAGTTAAGAAATAGGTATGTATTTAGTAATTAGTTATGTATTTTAGTAATTTGCAAAAAACGATCACAGTATACATGTAGTGTCTATAGGCGTTATGGGAGAAAATCTGGGGAAGAATAGTGAAACCAATGGCTTCGGTGTTTTTGTCACAGATTTTTTCCCAGCCACAGGGACAAGAGAAGAGGAAGCATAATGCATGCTGGCTGAAGGAGGAGCTGCTTGCCAGGCAGTACGGACTGTGGACGCTGCTGGGGTGAAGAGTAAAATCAGCTTTCCCATACGTTTGTAATCCAGTGGAGCAGGACAAGTACTAGTAATAAAGCTTCTGGAGAAAAAACAGTGGTTGTTTTTATTGTCATAAGTAAAACCTAAAAGAATATGACATGCAAAAACTGTCCACATTTTTTTTAAACTTTGGAAAATGCAATGGAACTGAGTTGCTAAATAATTCTCCAGAAAATACTTCCTCCTGCATTTCTTCAAGATGCACCCTCTAAACTTGTGACAGGTAAAATACAAAATGAGTTGAAGATGGGTACCTAGTCATTTTATATTAACAGGTCACTGGCAGAACAACAACAAAAAACTGTACCAAATACACAAAGAAATACAACCAGTCTGGATTTCCTTTTCTGGTTACCCTTCCTTAGAAAACATTAAAAACATTAAAAAGTAAATCACAATAGAAACCCACAAAAAGTGAGTTTCTATTCTGGAGATAATCCCAAAATTCGTTGTCTTGCTTAATATTACCAACTTACAAAGGCTGCATTATATGACACAAGAACAATACTGTAACAGCTTCTTGGAATAATGGCTGCTCATGAAAGTCATGGTAACTTCTTTAGAGCCTAGCTCTATTTCCTTTTAAGTGCATAGGAAATTCTTACTGACAGTATTGGATTTTAGGTCAGGTCTCTTATCTCTGAATGATTCATCAAGCAAATGCATCAAATACACGGAGAAAAACTACACCACAACAATAATACATACTGTAACTAAAGCAAAGAAGACACTGCAATATGTTCTTTGAAACAGAATCTACAGAACACATACACAATTAAAAAAAAAAAAGAAGTTGATTAACTGATGGGAGCTACGTACAGAGCTTATGCACGAAGGTCAGCACCATCAGACTTAACATCTACAACCCCTGATTACCTTGGACAATTCTAGTCTTACTTATATCCTTAAACAACAATGGCTAGAACTCTACTCTTACAGTATCTTAAACGTAGCTCATGAATAATAAGGTCAAAAAAATAATAAAGCAGGAAGTATCAACAGCAAACTGGTTAATCAAAGGCAATTTCCAATAGTAAATTCCTTACTGTTTTCAACTTGAGAAGGACTTGTTTCATCTCCAAGTTGCTGTACTCTGGGGAAAAAAAAAAAAAGAGAGACCATATTTTTTTTTCACTAATGAACATAGTGTTAATGGCCGAAGAGCTTCTTGACTGCAGTTCCATACTTTAAACTTCATTCAATATAGTTTATTTTAAATGTAGTACCACTGTCAAGACCAGCCTCAGGACAGCCATTGTAGCAGCCAAGGATCAGATTTATGAGTGATGCTCTGCAGCTGTTGCCTAACGGAGATTCATTACAAAGAAATGATTTTAAGATAAGGATAATCTAAAGGGCTTTAAATCGAAAGACTAGATCAAATCATTGCTCCTTGAGAAAGAATTCTGGCTTTACTTTCCTTATATTTCTTTGGATATATACAGGTTACTTTGAGGAAATGTATTCTTATATAGGCATAAATCCCGTTATGTCTACAATATAGTGAATTACTACAAACCATGTTCATCATCACTGTCTCATTAGAGAGGTGAAATTCGGTTATATTCTTTCTTGCAAACTGACATGCCAGCTGGAACCAAAAAATGCAGGTCTCCTGCTTTTAAAATCACATAGCAAATACGATGCATATATCTGAAAAAATATATAAATATCTGAATGATTGTCCTTTATGAATGCATATAAAATATATGCATTATTATAATATATATACATATATGAGTTATGTATTTACTTTTCCACTGCTCTGTATAATTCTCAAAGCTGACTTCATGTTGTAAAGTAGATATAAAATCTAAGAATCAAAAAGAATTGAAAGGAAACTCATTTAGTCTGTTGTCCTGCCCAAAGGCAATACCTAAGCTATTCACAGCACCTGTCCTTAAACCTTCAGTGAGATTCTACAACCTGTTGAGGCCATCTGCTCCAGTATTTAACTTACCACAGTGTTAAACTGTTGGACTTTTTGTCTCTAATGCTTAACTGAAATCTTCCTTCCTGCAAAATAAGCTGTTATTTCTTTTTGCATCCAGAGCAAAAGCTGTACCACTTGCTATTTTTAGATACACTTTGGATGTCTGAACGTGGCTCTGGGAGCTGCTCTTTCTTCTTTTGGCTGAACAGCCTGAATTCATTCAAAGTTTTTATGCATGTCATACCTTCCAGGACATTATTCTCATTGATCTTTTGTAGGCTTTCTCCAGTTGTCCACAGCTTTCTTGAAACACAGTGATTATAACTGAACAAAATACTCCGTGTTTGGCTTTATCAGGTTCAAATACATCTTACTCAGGAAACTGACTTCAGCATCTAAATATTGTACTTGATTATTGGACATGACAGTGCTGACACGTTAGCTACTAGTAATCCCTGATTTTTCTTTACAGAACTGACATTTTCAACCCTGCATTTTGAATTTTGTTATTCTAACCTGCTTCACACTGAAGTATTTCTCATCTCTGACTTCATTTTTTTTCCTAAGTATCTGGCATTCCTGAGCTCCTTGTTCCATTAGAATCTTCTTGTATGTGATTTTATTTACAAGTGCTCTTTTTAATCTCTTCCTAGGAATGATGAATTCTATAACTTCTTGACTACACTCACCATTGTTATTTTTCACCTTCAAATTCTCAGATAACTCTGTACATAATTTCAGCATCAGATGCACTTCACCCTGTTTTTCTTCTTAGTGTTTGAATAATATATATATTTTTTTAAATGGTCAATGTGTTTCAAAGACTTTTTCATACTTTATATCCTACTATCTGCTGTAATACTACCAAAGGTCAGCTGAGTCTGAAGTTATCTCATCTACCCCATTGCCTTGGACTGACATTCTAGATTTGACTGTATTTAACCATGAAAGCACCTTTGTTATTTTTCTTTGGTCTTTGTACTTTTATTTTCGGCACAATGGACTTTAAACAGGTTTATCTCCTGAGAGATTCTGCGTCTTAGACCAAGCCTGGATGCCTTAATATACAATATCTTATTGCTCTTCTCTCTTTCCTTCCTAACAAGGCTTAGCACTCTTTATTCAGTCATGAGATTGATCCTATGAAGTCAGTTAGGCCAAATAGATCATAGTCTTGATTGGGGAATAAGATTTGCTGGTCCTCCTCCTTATTTTGATACTTTTTTGTTAAGTATACCATTTATCTTGGTATGGTTGTTATCTGCTTAATTTGTTTTGCTACTTGCTGCGCAAATTAATGCTTTACTGACTGGGTTTCCTAACAGTGCAAAATATTAGCACATTCTTTTAAAACTGGCAAACTCTAACACTACAACAGATTATCCACATAAGCATTTTTACTGTGAGCTATAGAACTATTTATTTTAATGCAAAATGCACGATGCAAATCTTAGATGCAAAATTTTTCAACAGCTCAGTAACGCCAGGAAGATGTCAAGCTACAGCAATGTCATTATTAGCCTATAACCAAATACCTGTCCCAGTGTGAAAATATATTTAGATCATTATGGTGTTATTACCATAGGAAAAAAAATAATAATATTGAACATTCTTAAGTTGTTTTATAGACCCGTAATTCCAAAATATATCAGCACCACTGAACAACATACCAAGACTCTCTGGTACAATTTCAGAAGTCCCCTTACATTTACACTTAATTTCCCTTAAGACCATCTATAAGCTAACAAGACAATCTTTTAAGACCATTGTCTGCTACAGATGGTTGCTTTAATTACTGTTTTAGTAAGATATTTCACTTGTCATTATAAATTAGAATATGTCTTTCATGGAAAGTACACCTTAATCTGAAATTTATTTTAACATATTGTTTATTTTAATGTACTTATTTTTGTGCCTTGCTTAATGGATCATTTATGCAAATTATATGAGATAAATAATATGAGTTAATAATAATAGTATAGGACATCTATTATGTCTGGAGAAATAGTCACACAGGGTTCTAAAGAAACTTAGGGAAATGAAATGGCTGCAGAATTGTGAGCAAGGAATTTGTTTGAAAATCTATGTTTAAGTTCATAAGATTCCGTAGCAGGATATGTACTTAGCCAGTGAAATAAAAATTAAAGTAGTGTGTTATTATTTAACGAGCTCTTTTGTTGATCAGACTTGAGGGGAATCACACTGTCCAAAGTGGCCACTAAAGCATAGCAAAGTAATTGTCAAATAAGCTTTTTCCAAGGGAAAAGACACACCACATTGTTCTTCCAAATTCCGAGGGCTGTTCATCACTGCAGGCGTACAGTATGCAAATTGAACTTCTTTGCTCCAGCTGAGGCTGTACTTTGCCCACTGAATGATTCATCTTTGCAGGCAAGCAGGCAGTACTTGCACCATTAACCTTCCCTGAGATTTTACTGGGGAAGCTTTCTTCATCTTTTTAATGTGATTACAAAAGATTCTTGGTATGGAAACTACCATAAATAGAAACATATTTGGGTATGTCCTGGCCATGGTCCTAGTATCTGCAGTCTTATCCATGTGGGTATAGCACATACATGATGCTTTTAGATGATTTTAAAATGCTTTTACTCTTGCTTGTCACACTTTCTATTAAGAGAATGTATCTGCTCTGAATTGTATTAGCAGAATCTTACACAACTTAGGAGAGTACATAAATCATATCAAAGATTCTTTGAAAGAGTAAGTTTCTCTGAAAAATTAAAATCTCATAGTGAACACTAAAGTAACTGTTGCCCACATCCCAAAGTTGAATAATGTAATACTCCACAAAGATGAGATTTGTCTGATGTACTGACATCAATAGATCAGTTCTCCAAAGTTACAATAATAGCTTGTTAAAAACATTTGCTTTTCTTTTGCTACACAGATCTTTTTAAGTTCTCTAACAGAAGAACATGAGGATTTTTTTCCTCTCTAATATCTTGATTATAGCCTTAAAGGCCCACAGATGTCAGATCTCCTTACAATGAAACATTCACAAACTAGTAAGATGAAACAAAATACTCTGCATTTTCAAACTACTATGCAAATAAATTAACAATCAGGGAACAAACAAAAGAATTTAAACAAACTGCTCAGTTGTTCTACTTTTGCCTTCTTTCTCATTCAATCCTTCTTCTCTTAGCTGCTTATCTAAGCCATAAAGGTGAGGGGTTGTTATCCCATTTTTGTATTTATCAGTGAAGACTGCTGGCACTCTCCACTAACAAATGACTGTTATAAACAACAACACATATATTCTCTTTCAAACAAAGTCACTAGATTTTTTAGCAATCAAGAATGAGGATTAGAATTCCATATGGATTCTATACTTAAGCTCAGAAAACAGGAAATTAGCTGAGCTGGAAGGGATGGAAGATTCGTATCCCAGGAGTTAAGGAACACAAACTGGCAGTGGCAACAGTGGCAAGAAACAACAAAAGGACAGAGGAGAAGCTAATGTTAAAGGACTGTAAGTCACATACAGGGTTGAAAATCAGACACAAATGAATCACTGCAGCATATATCTAGCTCTTATTCAAGAAACTAATTGTTTCTAACTAGAAATCTGGTATCATATAGCTCCCAAATATTTGAAATTGCCCAAGCCAAATGCCGCTGGGAAGAAAATTCCAAGCTTTACTGTAACACTGTACAACATTGACTGGGTCTGAAACAAGGGATGTCCTTTTTCCTGTAGTCAGTTCAGCATTATCACAAAGTCTGAGACGCAGTTATTTTGCAAACAACTTTTTCTGCAGTGCAATCCATTTCTTCTAACTAGAAAAAAAATATATATATATATATATATATACACACACGCACACATATATACATATATACATCAGGGTTATCCAAAAGTACTAGGAAATTAGTGATTTGGTACAAAATTTAAATAAAGAATATGTGTGTATTACTGAAGACCCTGTACAATCAATAAACTACCATCAGATTCTATGGTTTGAATTCAAAAATTACTATGTGTACAATGAGTCTGTTTAAAAAACAAACATGATATGGCAGTTTTTCATTCATACAAATAGTCAATGAGATGTAAAACTGAATAGCTACACTTGGGTAACAATTATTTCATGGTTGTATTTATGGAATTTGTTAGAACACAGTTAAGAAAGTATAAT